CTTTGAGTCTTGTTAGATACAATGTATCGAACGTTGGCTATTCACATATCCCGGCCAACGCCCTAAGATTCCCACTCTGTCGGCTATTATTCTCTCACGTCTTCACATCATGACACGGCTTTGATTTGATAATTCTCACCTGTAAGGAAAACGAAAGCCCTAACTGATCCAGGAACGGCATCCTTATGAGACTCCAAATCAATGCTAAGTTCAACGACGTGAAGAGGTCCTTTCCGTCGCAATGATTCTAAGGAAAAATCGTTAAATAGGCTACTGTAGGTTAGTGACGTATTAATTAGTTTTGGTTAACCTCATTGAAAAAGAAAATTAAGGACACCTTTGAAAACAACTCAGACTATTTATAAACAATTATTGGATGAGGTTTTTGTGATATCCAGAATAATTAAGGTCGAGGGTTATCAGCCGAAGACGAAGGCTGAGGCTGATAACGTAACCCTTACCTTGATTATTCTGGATATCACGAAAACCGAATGTAATAATTGTTTTATTATACATTGAACGAATCCTTTCTTTCTCGCTTCGACTTAAAATGTTTTCGAAGTTTGGGCAAACTTTTTTTTCCTCAGGTTCTCTCAGTTTTTTCTTTTTCACTTAATCAGCAAACAGCTACTTTGCCACCGTCGTCGACCTTTTTGTGTTTGTGAGTCTTTGTCTTCAACTACTTTTTCGATGTCTGCTCGGTCAACCATGCAGGCATGGAAGTCATGCTTTTGCTTCTTCACTGACGGCGAGCAACACAAAGCGCGCGAACTTGACACGGTTACCATTAGAAATCATGCACCGCGGTCATACATGACATGCGCTGATTACCCGTGACCTTGAGTTTCCTTGACATAATTATTGTATAATCTGCAGCTAGATGATGCCCCAGGCGCTGATTTCGAAAATTCACTGTACGCTTTCGGCCAATCAGAAAAGAGATAGTGAGTTGAATGTATAATAGTGAGCATTATAAATCACACTTTGAGATAACTTAAGATACAGCGTACAGGAAGAAAAACCTTATCTCCCAATGGGGTCACCACCTTGACATGGTGGGGCAGTGTACGTGTCTTAAGGACATTTCGAGAGTAGCACCCCCACCAGCCAATTTCTCCCCTCACCCTCCCCTTCATTCCTCTTTTTTGTCCTGGTCCAAACTTTTTCAAAACTAACAAGATTCAGGGAAACTTGAAAGCGTGCAAGTAATCTCATCGCAATGATAGGCTCCTTAGGTTATGAGAGATCAGTAACATTCAAGCAATTTCCATTACGTGTTTATGGGACCAATCATGATCTAGCCAAATGTATATCTCACCGGGTTTTTGATAACGATATCGCCAAATGGACCTTTTGCGTCCAACAGTTTTTTTCGGCCAAAAATTACCTTCAACGTAGTTGTTATAAAAACTAAGAATGCGACAACTGCTTTTTTCTCTTCTCCTCCATTCCTTCTCCTTCCTCTTTCTTTTTCTCCTTTCCTTTTCCTTCGCTAATGTGATTTTGGAGCTTCTCGGTCTTAAGAAACTTGTCTTTTGACGTCTTTTCATTCAAATGACTGCAAATTTCGTTTGGTTAGGTTTCAAAATACCAAATACACCCTACAGGATCTATGGGGAGGAAGATATTTTTTCAACTTAACTTTTTATTTCAACATTTTTTTTTTACTTTCTTGATTAGGTTCTCAGTTGAGTGCCTCCAGTCAGTAAGTCTGTACTTCTTATTTATTGCATGTTTATAAACATTTTATGAAACACTTACTTTTACTTTGAAACGCCGCTAGAGTGGGCCTTACTGGTCTGTTTCCACCACTGCTACTATTGTCGGTAAGATGTCCTAAAATGAAAAGGCCAACGATAAAAGTTCATGAAACGTTTTCTCTTTTAGTATTTGTGCCAGCAAGCATAGTTGTGGAGGCACCGTGGCCGAGTGGTTAGAGCGCTGAACTTGCAATTCGGAGGCCCCGAATTCAAGTCCTGCTCTGACCGCTAGCTGGATTTGTTCTCGGTAGTCCCAAGTTCAAATCCTTGGCCACGCTTGTAAATAGCCTGCTGGTTTGCCTCCGGCCAGTTGGGATTCTTAAGCCTGTTATGTTTGATTTGAATTGTTTGTAGTTTCAGGCATTTGCTCGGCCCCACTAGCATTCGTGCTATAAATACTGCCGAGGGTAAACTGAACGGCATTATTATTATTATTAGTAGTAGTAGTAGTAGTAGTAGTAGTAGTAGTAGTAGTAGTAGTAGTAGTAGTAGTAGTAGTAGTAGTAATGTAATGAATTGCTTTATTTGCATGACCGCATCATCTTACAGTATTGCGAAAGCATGTATATGATAATCAAAATATAAAACAAACAGCACTAATAATAATCTAGAAAAATTCAGTTACATTACTAACAATGATTCACGTATTTTCATACAGGATGAAACAAACTTCATAACTAACTTATTTACATGATGTTCCTTCGAATTCATTATCAGTTTTATGCTTTCTGGAGATAATTTCTTATCAAAGTCAGGTATTATTCGATTGATTTGATTAATAAATGCCTGTCTCTGTACTGAGTATTTGTTACATTGAAAGAGGAAATGAATCTCATCTTCTACCTGATTTGAGTTACATAAGGGACATAATCTATTTTCTCTTGGCAAACGATCGATTTGGTATCGACCATGTAGTAGTAGTAGTAGTAGTAGTCGTAGTCGTAGTCGTAGTCGTAGTCGTAGTCGTAGTCGTAGTCGTAGTCGTAGTCGTAGTCGTAGTCGTAGTCGTAGTCGTAGTCGTAGTCGTAGTCGTAGTCGTAGTCGTAGTCGTAGTCGTAGTCGTAGTCGTAGTCGTAGTCGTAGTAGTAGTAGTAGTAGTAGTAGTAGTAGTAGTAGTAGTTGTAGTAGTAGTAGTAGTAGTTGTAGTAGTAGTAGTGGTAGTAGTAGTAGTAAAAAAGTAATAAAAGTAATAAATTGCTTTATTTGCATGACCGCATCATTTTACAGTATTGCAAAAGCATGTATATGACAATCAAAATATAAAACAAAACAGCACTAATAATAATCTAGAAAAATTTGGTTACATTACTAACAATGAATCACGTATTTTCATGCAGGAGGAAACAAACTTCATAACTAACTTATTTACATGATGTTCCTTCGAATTCATTATCAGTTTTATGCTTTCTGGAGATGATTTCTTGTCAAAGTCAGGTATTATTCGATTGATTTGATTAATAAATGCCTGTCTCTGTATTGAGTATTTGTTACATTGAAAGATGAAATGAATCTCATCTTCTACCTGATTTGAGTTACATAAAGGACATAATCTATTTTCTCTTGGCAAATGATCGATTTGGTATCGACCATGTTCAATCATAAGTTTGTGATTACTTATTTTAAATTTAACAAAATTCTGTCGTTCGTCATAATGTCTTAGCTGGTAGAGATAATCAGATGTAGAATATTCATCTTTAAAAGTTTTATAAAATTCTAGTTTTTTTGAATTTTCGAGGCTGTGCCGCCAAAAAGATAGATATTTCTCTCTCATTTCTGTGGTATATCGTCTAATTTTATCATTATCTAGAGATTCAGCATCTAAACTGGTTAGATTGTATTGTTCAAGCATGTTTATGAAATTGGAAAAATATCCGGAATTATTCATAGAATGTAGATTCTTTGACATAAGGAAAGACTGTTTGACTATAGAGTCATTAGCTTTGTTGTTGAGGTAAACAAAATATTTCATAATTTTCTGATTTATCGGGATAAGCAGCGGCAGTCTATCAAGTTCAGCTCTGCAGGCTATGTTAGAGGCCTTATTGTTAACCTCTAAGTAACGTTTACAGAATTTGAGGTGGATTTTTTCTATTGGGGAGCTATCCCATTTTTTAAAATCTTGCTTGGTGTACATTCCCCATACCTCGCTGTTGTAACTCAAGATTGGGAATACCATGGTGTCAAAAATTTGGGATGCAGTATTAGGATTAAGTTTGTTAAGAATTGTCCGCTTCCGAATACTAGAAAACGCGTGAAGGGCCTTTTCTTTTAAGTGTTCGAGTGCAAGTGTAAAGTTTCCGTTGGAGTTAAACGTGTACCTAAATAAGTGTATTCTTGGACAATTTCAATTGACTCACTGCCTATGTTGAATTTGATGTCAATAGATTTTTTTGGGCGTTTCTGGAATATCATAATTTTTGTTTTCTTGGGATTAATTTTTAGCTTCCATTTGTCACAATACAAAGAAAGCGCATTTAAACAGTTCTGTAATCCAGTTTTCGATCTTGATAGAATAACTAAATCATCTGCGTAGAAAAGTGAATTTATTTTTTTCCCATTTGGGAGAACAAATGGGTCAGATAAGGTGTTTTCGAATAAAAGTGGTAGATTGTTTAAATAGAGGTTAAATAAAAGAGGGCTTAAAATACAGCCTTGACGTACACCTCTGGAATATGAAAAAGGCTGTGTTTTGTTTTCACCGATTTTGATGGAACATGTCGAGTTGCAATAAAGACTTTTCATGAGGTTGTACAAGTTTCCTCCTATATTCGTTTTTAGCAGCTTATAAAACAATCCTTCGAGCCAAACAGAGTCAAACGCTTTGCGGAAATCTACGAAACAAGCGTAGACTTTTTCCTTCCAAATAAAATGCTGAGTTGTTTTAGTGATGGAAATGTTTTTGTGGAATTTGTTCTTATAAAATAAAGCGATTCCTCCGGAGTTACGCCCACCTCTCCCCGACTGATTTGGTGTGGGACATTGAAAAAAAGATTTGTATCCCGCAATTTCCAGATTAGAGCAGTTGCCAATTTCTGTTAACAATATAAAATCGGAGTTATTAATAACACTCAAAAAATCAGTATTATCTAACTTATTTCCAAGATATTTCGAAGAAAGGCCATTAATATTCCAAGCGCAAAAGGACAATGTGCTTGAAATATCGGGACTATCTTCGGTGTCCGTGATTGTATAGAAAATAATAAATGGATTACTCTTTATACTGGTATAAAGTTTATCATTAATACTTAATTCAGTGTCAAGGGTAAGATGAAATTGTTCATACAAATGATTTTATAAAACGAAGAAAGGATATGATTTCCTGAGGCATTGCTGAATCCGTTAATTTGTTGGAGGGGCGAGTTTCTTCACCTGCGGTTTCCATTTTAGCGGCCTGTGGAAACGTTTGATGCGGTGTTTTGGAGTATTGATGCGATATAGTTGGTGGCGGAGCTGGGAGTATCTGGTCCGGCAGGGTTTGCATAGGAAGCTGGAATGCTTTATTTGAGGCATTTGGTTCATGATGTAGTGAATTTTGCAATGGTGTTGGAGGTATTCGTTGTGGAAGTTGTGGTGTGACAAATGGTAACGGCGGAGGTTGAGTTTGAAGAAGGTGAGGCCAACGAGGCACTTGAGGTGGTGTGTTCTTTAGAAGAGAGAGTGGTAGAAGATCAAAGAGATGAGCTGATAAAGGCTATTGGTTGCATGGGAGAGTACCGTTTAGCTGAGGAATTCAAGGAAAAGGCAGTTTCTCCGTCACAGTGGTCCCAGATGACAACCGAGCAGCGGAAAGAGTACACCAAGAAAGTGCTTCACATGAAACCAGAGAACCTGGGTCGTAGAGTACAGTTTGCTTGTGAAGTTAACTGCATGTCCGTTCCTGTCAGCGAATGTGACTTGGACGATCTACCGAGTGCTGTTGTCAAGGATATCTGGGCCCGAGCGAATATCATTCTGGAGAGGTACAACGTCATTCAACTCGAAAACTCCACTTTCTGTGTAACTGAATTCGACGAAAGTTACACTGTCAAGCAGACGGCCCCGACGCTTTATCGCTGCCACTGTAAGCGTTTTCTGTCAACGGATGGTCTTTGTCAGCATGTGTTATCTGTCGCCGAGAAAATGAAACGGTTGGCGGAATTTCTGACGCACTACAGAGAAAAGAAAAACAAGGCATCGAGAGTCATGTTCAAGAAAGTCCCTACCAATGCAGGGGAAAAGCCATCCAGCAAACGAAGAAAAGGAAAAAACAATGTTGAAGCAAGACCAATCACAGAAGAATTCGACCCTCATAATTTGAGCCACCCAAAGGCCCATCGTTACACGCAGTACTACCACAATGACAAGCCCTTTTACGTCGTCTTTGCAAAAAACCATCCTCAGGCTACGCAATGTATCTCATGCGACATTGCCTTTCCTCGCAGAATGCCCGTGGCTCCATACGACCTTGCCTTCGCACACAAGGAACGTTGGCAGTATCCGGTGAGAGACGCCAAGGGGAAAATTGTGGAAAAGAAGATTACTAAGACGAAATTGACCAATCGATTCTATTGTCTTCGCCCAGAATGCGTCCTTAAACGTCACCCGTACTTCTGGAAAGGTCTGATTCAGATAGAGGATGAAGTTCAGAAGGAACTTAAGGAAAGCCACAAGAAACTGTTGCTGGACACGTTCCAAGTCAACTTGTAGATCGGCGGATATTATAAAGTTCATGATCAATGTGTCAAAAACTTTCGAGGATGCTCGTAGGAACTACTACAAAAGGAACCCCTAATGTGCCAAACTCTTGGTTTGCTTTAGTTCATTTTTACCTTCTACCAAACGTTTCAGTTCTGCAACTTAATCAAATTCCGGCCGAAAACAACTGCATTGGCTAATTGAACTAGATTGATAAATACCGCAAATGTACCGCGAAACCGATAGAATCTAACTGCTCCGAAATGACAATCGGATCACGGCGGGGCCAAACCACCCCTAAAATGTATCATCAAGAGGTGGCATTTTTTGGTTATTTTAGCATAACATTAAATGTATTGAATATTTCGTTAATAAACTTGGTAAGTGAACAGATGACATGCGCCGAATTATTTTGAAATCAAAATTGACAGGAGATATGAAATTATGACGTCACAGTTGATGACGTCATGCTATACCCTTAACAAAAAGTTTTTAATTTCCATTTTTTTGCTAGTGTTTTCCAAAGAGGACAACTAGAGAAGTTTAAAACTGAAAACCGTTTGTCGATATCACAAATATTAGATGAAATATGACATTTTGAATTTTGAAGAATGCTTTGCCCGGAAAAGAGTGTCCCCCCTAGGTAAAAATGTCATAATTTAAGTTCGTTTTTTATGTGAGCAATTATGGTTATGTTGCAGATTGACTGTCCTAGATAAGTAGAACAAGAATAATTGAAAAAATTAGAAATCGTAGTTTTACCTTCCATTGTTTACTTCAAAAACCGAGTTTGTGACGTCATAAAATATTACGTCACAATTATTTCATCGCTTAAATTATAGTTTTGGAGGAGAAAATCAAAAATCTAAAATCATACGATTTTTTTAAACACTTATCACTTTACTTTACCAAATTCTTAGCTTTACTTGAAAAAAACTGAAAAAAAAAATATCATAGGAGTTGATTTTATAGGAAATGTATGGTTCCGGGGGGGGTCTTCAAATTGTTATAACTCGAGAAATATTTGTCATATTTGTCATATTTGTTATTTGTTATAAATGATTTGGACAACAACCCAAGCGAATGTGCGAAGTTTGGTGAGGAAATGTGCAAAAAAGCAAAATTAGCCTTAATGATACATTTTAGGGGTGGTTTGGCCCCGCCGTGGATAATGATGATGTCTACATCTATTCGTTTCTGTTTTGTTGCTTTCTCGCTCACCCTGTAAACACAAGATAGATTGAACGAAAGGTGGTTAAGGTTTTGATTTCTACGAGCGACTAATTGTGTAAATCATCAGCACAAAGGAAAGTGAATTGTTCCCAGAGAAGAGCGAAACTGCAGCAAACGTCAATTAGAGAATTTTTTTTGTCCTTCAGGATGAGAAAAGCTTATTACCATTGACAGTAACATTGTTTAAATTTAACGGAGATGTAGTCTTCTTGTAAAGATCACAATTTACTATCTATTTCGCGATCAATGTGTTAATGTTGCTGATTTTCTTGGTGTTTATATTAATCAACAAAGTTCCCTAATTGTCGCGACAAAATAGGACATGATCAACCAACATCATGCAATTAAAAGTGATTGTTTTGTTGTTTAATAGTGTTCGTAAGGCAGTATTTGCTTTATCTAACAAGACAGTTTTCGAGAACAAATAATTTGCGAGCCTTGTTTCGTCGATTACCAATCGGCCGCCATTGGTATTTTGCGAAACAAGGGATCTAGCGAGAACAGTTTTCGAAGAGAGGGCAAATTTCTTGTCGCATCTATAAGGCAGTATTTACTTTATCTAACAAGAGCCTTGTTTCGTCGATAACCAATCCGCCGCCATCTAGCGAGGACAGTTTTCGAAGAGAGGCCGGGAATAATTCTTAGTGCCATCGTTCCCTTTTGCTTGTGTAATATCTTCTTAATCATTTCGTTTCGTTTCGTTTCGTTTCGTTTCATTTCGTTTCATTTCGTTTCGTTTCGTTTCGTTTCGCGGAATACCGTAAGCCGCATTGCTGTATGATGTGTGATGTAATAGTGGCTTGGGACCTTGGGAAGAAGTCGGTTGAGTTTGTGAGGATCTTTGTCTTTGGGCTGGCATTGTATTAGAAGGAACTGTAGGTTTTGGTCTGGCACGACCGCGAATTGTGTCCTTAAGGTTTTTGGCGAAAAATTTTACGTACCGTTTAAGAATATGTTTCTGATCGTAAAGAATATTTGATTGATTCTCAAAGAGGTTGTCATGTTTGACTAACTGCACATTGGGTAATCTTGAGCAGCTACTGATCAACTGATTGTTTATTGAAGTTATTATTGGTGTCGGGATGTCGCTGCGGGGAAGAAGTGTTGAGTAGAATATTTTGCTTGAAGGAAATTTCGTTGAGGCTTCTGTAATCAATATTAAGATGTTAGAAATAAGATCTTCAGGCGAACTGGTTCTTTCTAGATCGTTTGTTCCTGTGTGTAATATGAGTAGTCGGGGAGCAGTGTGGATTTGACTTTGTAAGTACGATCTAGCGTGTTCAATCAGTGGAGTTCTAACATACTTCACTTCCTGGTCTGAAGGAAACATTTTTCCATGTCTAAAAACTTTCCATTTGAATCACATAGAAAGATCACTTCATTAGAATTATTGGTGTCGTTGGTAGCAGGAGACTTAGGAGGGTGCTGCGAATTAGTGTCTACGGGTTTGTTTTGTGGTTCTTTTCTTGGCGGGTTTTCTGGTAGATCTTGAAGGGGAGAAAGAGTTTGATGTTGGAAGATTAACAAGTAGTATCTCATCTTCTGACCATTGGTTGTCGTTTGATGTAGGAATGGCAGCTTTATTCTTTGTGCTATCATTGAATTTGTCGTCCATTTCTTCACCAGAGGTCTGGCTCGACGTCTTAGTTGTTTCCGGCGGCAGTTGTATTGTTTCCCAGAGGGCTTTAATTTGGTCCTTAAGAAAGGTGATTTCCGCTTCAAGCTGGTTCTGTGTTCTTCTCATGGTTGCGTTATCCTCCGATATTTTCGCATTTTTTCTTTTGAAGTGCTTGATTTTCATTCTGTAATTTGGAAATTAAGTCAGCGTGTTTTTGTAAATCGTGATTTAGAAGTTTAGTATTGTTTTCCAGATCATCAGCAAGGCCCCTAGGGTTGTTGTTTGTACTTTGAAATTGTGATCTAGTTGGGCAGCTTTGTCTTTTAGGTGCTCGAGGTTACCAGCGTTTGTTACTTTAAACTCAGTAAAATCGGCTTCTAAATTTCCGACGGTATTTCGAAGAGTAGTTAAGGTGTTTAGCCTACTCGGTGTAAGGGAGAGTTCAATGGGTGTTGACAATTGCGTTATTCTTGTATTTCCTTTGTCTGCACTGGGTGTTTCTGTTTCTGTTATGTCACTGACAACATTTTCAGCATTTTCCACGGTAGTGTCGTTTAGTTCCGAAGCCCTTGTGTCCGCAATCTCACATCCTTTGTACTTTGTGAAAAACTTTTGGAGTTCTATATGGAATGTAGATTTGTCCTTTGCGCTAACAGCGCTAAGGTTTCCTGACGACCCGAGACTGTTAACAATAGATAGCAGTGCAGGAAATTCCTGTTGACTCCACTCGGCGAATTTTTTGCCTTGAACCATGATTCTGCCAGTGGAAATAAAGATAGTTATGGTGACCATTTGATCTTCAATGTTATTTTCTTCCTCGTGAATGTGCATGATGATTTTATCGCTTTTGGTTGGGCAGCTATGTGACTCTTGTTCTTGCCATGTTACTCGATATCCCATCACGTTCAGGTGATCAAAGTATCGCACAGCGAAGGTTTTGATCCATAAAAGTAGCCGGTCTTCAGATGTTACAAAGGAGACAACCTTAGCAGCAGTTTTTGTAGGCTGAAAAATCGATTGCTTCGAATAAAACTGATTTGGATTTAGTGGATGAGTGAAATTTGTCGACCAGATATCGGTGAAGATCATCACATGGTTTCATGTCCACCATTGAGGCGGGCTTGAATGTTACCTTTTTCTTTTGTCCAGGATTATCTCCAGGCTCGAAAGAGGGGTCATCTTTCTCTTCATCCATGTATATTTACGTTTTGATAAGCTTTTTACCAGTATCATTCAATCCTTCCATGAAAACGACTAAACTTCTCGCACCTTAAAAAGCAGTGACCATTTTCAGTGGTCACGCAAGTAGTGGTAGTGGTAGTGGTAGTGGTAGTGGTAGTGGTAGTGGTAGTGGTAGTGGTAGTGGTAGTGGTAGTAGTAGTAGTAGTAGTAGTAGTAACAGTAGCTAGTGTCAGGCTCTCATAGATCAAACAGAACGTAGAGACGTCGCGAAAACAAGCGTGTGCCCCAGCCCGGCCCTACGAGTTTTTAGCATCCGCTTTCATGATATTTCTGCACATTTTTTTTTTCAATATATTGGAGTCTGGAACAGGCTAAAGTAAGTATGAGTAAACAATATTTAATGGTTAACAAAATGAAAGACTTTTAAGCTGTTCAACCGTTGAGCCGCTGCAGCAGTTGTTAGTTGGGAAAACATTAAAACAGTTATTACCCGTAGGATCCAGAATAAAAGTTTGTGACTTTTGGAGTTCCTTTCCCTCTGGCTAAGGAAAAAAAAGGAGACGAAAAATAAGCTTTTAAATTTAAATATATGGAACTATAACATATAGCCTAGTAGTAGCTCAACCAATCAGAACGCAGCATTGATAATAGACCACTAGTTGGATTTTACTAATTTCAGTTAGTCCACGTCTGTTACAATACATCAAGTCGAAGTTTGGCTTCAGTAGATAACTCATAAATAAATGTAATTTACAATGCGCGTCGATATACCCGGAACACGGAACATGAAAAAATAAAAATAATTTTCATGAAAAAAAGGAATAATAATAATAAAATAATTTCTGTAAAAATTAATAATAAAGTAGAATAACCAAAAAAAGAGGGAAAAATAAAGAAATAAAGAAAAAGGAACTCGTATCATCTCCGAGTATGAGAAAACAATATTTATTTTTGTCGCAAATAATTTGTTAGGCGAGGGAGGGTCCATGCAAATGATAGTAATGAGTGAAGGCTTGCTTCTAAATTCAAAATTGATGTTTTCTCATACTCGGAGATGATACCAGTTTCTTTCTCTTAATTATTTCTTTTGTTTGTTTGTTTGTTTTTTTTTGTTGTTGTTGTTATTTTATGTTATTTTATTATTATTAATTTTTGCAAAAATTATTTTATTATTATCATTTTATTTAATTGATTATTTTTTTAAGAAAAATTATTTATATTTTTTCATGTTCCGGGATGTTCCGGCATGTTCCGGAATGTTCCGTGTTCCTGGTTTTATCGACGCCCATTTAAAATATGGTTACGCACTATGGAAATACTGAGTGTCTATGACGTCATCCAAAAAAGCGACCAAGCTGGTGATCTTTGGTGGCCACCCCCGATCTCGTTATAAACACAGCTGTTAAAAGTGAGACCGGGAAAACCGTGAACACTTGAAATATTTCAAGAATGTTTATTGTGTTAAGACCAATCACAGCAAAGATCAGGACATACGAGCAAGCCACAAATCACAAACTAATCAACGTTCTTGTTTGCTATTTAGTTTTCTCACGCCTGATTGGCTTTTTTCTTGCAACACAATAACATTCCAGAAATATTTCTACTGTTCACAGATTTCCTGGTTTGACTGTAAAACCCTAAAGGTATATTCATAGGATGGGTATATATATATATATACAGTATTATCAAAAGATGAATATTTGTCACGGTTGAAAAATGTCTAGTTTTGACCAAATATATCTCGCAACCGTAACAACTGAAGTGTACTGTTGCCAGAATGTGTCTTAAACACGTGAACCAGCTTACTTCCATATAATCCACAGACGGCTACAAAAAAAAAGCTTTCACTGTTTTCTCCAAGTACAGCGTCTTCGATCACCCGAATTCATATTTGGCCAATTACGTTACCAATGATATCTTTAACTTGAAAAATAGCCTCCACATCACTATTCCGATTCCTCCAGTTTTCTTTGGAACAACTGTTGTTGCAGTACGATCTGCCTGCGTGCTGGCAGTATGTTTAGTTTTTCTTGGCGAGGGGGGAAAAAGCTGCGACAACCTGCGAGAAGCGCGCGCTAACGAACATTGAAGCCGTGAGAAAAGAACCGCTGTTCTCGTTGTTTTCGTCCCATTCTATTCACGGCTTCACCCCTCATTCGGCCGCTCGGCACACAAAACCGCCAAGTTTCGCTCGGGCTTGTTTAAATTTTGTAAACTATGGAGTACTAGCCGGCCTCAAAAAATTGATATCATTATAGACATTGCCGTTTATTCCTACAGACACCATTTTACCTACTGGACGTCAGTTACATCAGGAAACAAAAGCAGGTGAGTAGGACCATACGGTTTCAGGGATACGGAGTGCAACGCACAAGTTAAAACTTAACTGACTTACCAATGAAAAGGAGACGGTGTTCAGTCCTAAAAGAATCTCAAACATAATTTATGTACCAATTTCATTTGAAGAATAAACGACACCACTGTCTAAAGCTGATAATTTTGTTTTAGGAAAAAAAGGATCACGCAGAAGAAATAGGTACCTACTCCAAGGCACATACCAAAACAAAAAGTGTTTTCGTCACAGCATCTCCAGCCGAATTCATGTAGCTGTTACCAATTTTAATTTGAAGAATGTACGACACTTTTACTCGAATCCCTCCAATTTTCTTGGGAACAATAGGAACTGCCACAGATCTTGCGTCCTTGGCTGGTATATGAACTACTCCTATCAAAGCGAGTTTATCGTCCGCAGCAATAGAGCAGAAGTGTTTGTCACCTTTGAGATACAGTTTTGCCTGACGAAAGGAAAGCAAAAACGGTAAAACGTAGTTATTAAAGTGAAAATGAATGGTTTATGAAACCCTTTAGGTCCTGTTCGCAAGTAGGGAGGGTAATCCTGGTGCTAGGGTTACCCTAGCAAGAGGGTTAATCCAACAGCACTCGCATATTTATTCTTTTGTCACACGGCGTGTCTAAAAGGCAGGTAGCCAAGGGTTACCCTAGCAAGAGGGTTATCCTACCTGCGTTGTAAACGCTCTGCTAGGGATAACTCGCGTACCCGGGTCAACTTTCCGCCGTCATGCGTGACCAGTAATTGTGCCAATTTGAACGGTATTATCCAATTTCTTAGCTTAATTATAAAAATCTCGAAAATATTTTCCCTTTTTTTCGTGAATTTTCCAGAGAGAACTTCAAGATTATTTCAAATCTTGGACCGTTACAAAGAATGTCACGCATGACGAAACACGACAGCAAAGCTGGTAAAGTTGACCCAGGTGATAGGGTAATCCTCCCTGTGAAATTTGCTTGTAAACCACAGCTAACTTTAACCTGCTTGCTAGGGTTAGCCTAGCACAAGGGTAACCCTCTCTCCTTGTAAACAGGCCCTTAGACTCCTTTGCTTTATGTTTTCGTTGGCTTTTTTTTTGTTTTTGTTTTGCACGGTCACCCTACCGTGCACAACGTTCAATATCATTCCAATCATTTTGAACTTACTGACCAATAAAAAACGTCGCATTAATCTATCCAGGCACAATTTGTGAACAAAAAACAAAGGATTGTTCACGGTCAGTTAGCTTCCAACATTAACTACAGCACCGTTGTTTACAACTTTGATGTTTGCCGGCTTTCATAACCAGTCTCCTCTACTAACTATGGGTAGAATAATGAGAGATAAAAGAGATTAAATGGCCATTTGAAATTGTGGTCACTATCCTAATGGTTGAGTTTGTTTGTGAGCATTTTATGGCAGTGACCGCCTGGCAGCTGCATGATCGATTAAATCATCGCCCCTATCACTAGCCTGCGAAAACATCCGTTTCTCCTCGCTCTTCGTAGCTGGGGACGTTTCGCACGAAACGTCTTCAGCGGCGAAGAGCGAGGAGAAACGGATGTTTTCGCAGGCTACCCTATCACTCACATTGTCAATTTTACTGTATAATTACAAAAAAGTGCGGGTACATTTAGGATACATTGTTAAATCTTGGATTGTCCCCTGGTTCTTTATACGCCGAATTATTCTTCATCACAATCATTATCATTAATGTTAAATTAGTCTGAAGAAAAATGGGAGGCTAACATTTAAGTTTATTAATCAAAGGCAATCATTTCAATAAGTTCATTAATCAAAGGCAACAGCTGAAACTAACTTAAGATGCTTTAAAATACTACAAAAATAGAAATTTAACAAGAAAAACAAGTTTTTCCCCACGCCTACCCGCATCTCCTGGTCGTGGTAATTGAAGACTGTTGCCAAAAGGGAAACTTGTTCTCCTCTTTTGAGTGAGTATGGCAACTTGAGAGAGATAAAGTGTTCCCTGAATCCCACAATTCTAAGTGGTGTTGCTAGTCCCAGGCCTGTTTTGTTGTTGATAGCCACGGCCTGCATTACCCACGTGGTTATAGTGTCTGGTATTGTGACATCCATCTCAACAAGTCCTCCGCGGCTATGGGTAACGAACAATATACTCAAATGAACTACGGACTGCAGACCATAACGTACGTTTAAGATGGCCAAAGTTAGGATTTTCCCACCAAACTAGAATCGTGTCTTAAGTGTAGGTGCCTTTTTGAGCTTGTAATCTTATAATACTATAAAGAATATGGTGTTACATCTACGACAGTTAACTTAAAGGTAAGAGCATTTTTTCTATTGTTGTGTACCTAAGGATAGTGACCCCGCTCTCATTAGAGACCTTACGGGCTCTAAGGCCCAGTTCAACGTCGAATTTTTCATGTACCAAACTAAACGCCTATTTGAGTCGACCCAAATGATGTAAGTTGATTCAGACGTCGAACTTAATTAGTCGGACTCAATTTATTTTTACGATGTACAATGGTCTTCAATGCTTGACAGCGAATAAAAATCATAGTAATGTATGCCGTAGGTTCGGCAAGATCGACGTTTGAAGTGAAGTTGCTCCACAGTCGAAATTCGATCTTAATTCATGGGTCGACCCAAGTTAGATTTGTCGGACTTAATTGACTCAAACGTTGATCGTTTCATGTACTTAATTGAAAGGGTTAGGCTTGGTACATAAAAAGTTCGACGCTTGAACGAGGCCCAAGATGAGACCCCGTGCAAGAGTAGTTTCTTACTAATTGCAATTTCTCATTATAAGAGTCAGTATCTAGAGGTTTCATAAATTGGCTAGTACTGCAGAGAGTCATTCCAAAAATCGACTTCATAATCAGTTCCAGTGTATAACGCTTAAAACGTTAGCGTGCGAGCCTTTACTTGCTATTCGCCACTTTTACAGACGACAAGGAGACCGGGCCGAGTACGCTTGCGCAAAGACTTCTGCGACACGCCGGTCAGGTATTGCCCATTTTTTCCTGTGTGGCCAATGATGCTGATCTTTTGTATTAATTTGTAGACACTATTTTCAGTGACATTTTTTTTAAAGAAAGCTTGATGTCAAGCAAAGATTGAACGTTAATGTATCCGCCAATACCAAAACAAAGTGGCTGTTGCCAAAAGGTGACTAAAGGTGGAGGTATAACTGTGTTTTCAATCTAAAAGATTTCATATGAAAAATTCTTAGTGAACGTAGTAGCCTGCTGTGTGCGAATGTTTTTGCTTCCTCTCCTCCTTCCATTAGCCGCAAAAGAACAGAAGTCTTTGTCAACTTTTAGATATAGTTTTGCCTGACAGCAGAATGAGAAAAAGCAATGGTTAATAACTATCAACATTAATAATAATAATAATAATAATTAATAATGATAATTTTTAACCAGGAGGCTCTCTCACCAGGGTGATTTTCAGAGAGGTCCTGGAAAAAAAAACAATGTCAAAAGATAAAAAACACTGAAAGTTAGATTTGTCAGGCCAAGATCTTCATTATTTCCCGGTTCTGTTCATGGCGAATGTAATTTTTATTTCTCAACGGATATCACCATGACCACCATAATCGATTCTAGACCAAATTGCAACGTGCCTGAAAGGAAGACTTACGTATCAGGGTAGCCCCGAAATGCAGAGATACACTTCTTTTTTTTTTTTTTTACTTCAACTGTAATGAGCTAGACGCTTTGTTGACGAGGAACATTTTTTAGGCCATGTTCTAAGTTCTTCGTTCAGTTCAATTCGTGAATTTCTTAGTTCACCAACTCACGAATTTATCTATTGTAACCGAAGAAGACAAATATAAACAGAGGCCTAAATTGAAACTCAATTAAGATGCCTTTCAAAAAAAAGTAAACGAGAGTGAAAAATTACTGTTTATTTTTCATGCTTAACTCTTATTCATAAAACATGATGGTAATCAGAAAAATGTTGCCAGAATAGAGATTTCATGCAATAAAGACAAATCATATAAAAGGTAGATCAAGTCTTATGAGTACATCCCTTCGACCTTGTTTTAATTCAAGTCCGATCGATTTTAAGTTATAAAGAGACAAATATGAGCAGGAGCTGTCGATTTGTTCTAGCGGAGAACGAAGATACGGCAAGGATCGAACAAAATCAACACTTAATAGAGCGTAAACTCCATAAAAATTCAAAAACACATGGTCGCATGTCACATTACATACAGGTAAGTATCGTGAGAAAGCGAGGCACGTCCTGTGTACACTGCAGATTGTTCTGTTTATCAACAGAGCGAACAACTGACACTAATTTAGGCTGCTTTAAAAGAAGCTTTGAAAAAGAAGCTGTACTTTAGCTGAAATAAATTTTGACTTCTAAAAAATCTGAAAAGTATTCTTTTTCCAGGCTTACTCAGAGGATTATTCGAATCTCCTCCAAGTGATAATTAACTCTGTCAGCTAAAAGAGAGACTTGTTCTCCTCTTCCGACTGAATATGGCAATTTCAGAGAAACAAATAAATCTCAGAAATCCACAATTCTAAGCAGCGTTGCAAAACTCAGGACTGTTTTGTTGTTAATAGCCACGGCCTGCACTACCCGGGTGGTTATAGTTTCTGGTATTAAGACATCTATCTGATCAACTCTGCTCGGGCTGTAAACACACGTTGGTGCAAATGAAAAACTCTTTACCTTCAATACTCGAGGAAACCTGACAAAACCTAGTGTTTGATAGATAGAAAAATGGCAAATAGTTGCCTGGTAATAAGTAAGAGCTTTCTGTCTTTTGCAGTATATGACATTTCCGAGGGCATCGATAAAACCCGGAACATGGAGCCATATCAAAATCTGCCGGACAAAATACTCTTACATTGAATTTCACGACCACGCCCCCAAAATATGGTGGACCCGAATAGACCGTAATTTTGCAACCTTTTTCTGTTTTACTGACACTATCAAAGAAATCCCAAATGCACCTTCAGAATATAAAAGTTCATTATCTAAGCTTAAGGCTAAACTTTATTTACAAGAATTCAGACATTTTTTCTCTCGGGTCTTCAGCTTATATTTTAACTGTTTGACTCTTTTTTAGAACATTTTGGCCCGTCAAACGACCACGCGCAGGATCTAGGCATCTACACATGTCTGTATTATAATTATTACTACAGGAAATTTCCCTTCTTTTGATATACATGTATAACTTGCCTAGCTAGATTGGAGAGAACTTTTAGCTCGGGAAATGGCATTTCAAAGTAGCTACTTATGGTTTTTAGCCATATTGTTATGTGTGTCAAAAGCGCAGGGGGGCGAGGAAAGCGCTTGAATTGCCTTTGTTTACTACGAAATAAACAAGATAAATTGTATTAAAATTTAGTAAGATTTTATGTTAAGAGGCAGGAGGAAAGCACCTCAATAGGCCACTTGCACTAAGAGGTTACGTGACCAATGCTTCCTTTAATCATTTGCATTCAAGATCTTTTATTTAGTCTGAACAGTACCGATTCTTATAATCAACTGTCTAAAAAAGTATACAAAACAAATATTTTACTGTAGAATGGGCTAGCTTACGTAGGTCCATTCCATTATCGTTAAGAAGTTATGACACATTTTTGACGTTACAAAAGGGAAATCAAAGGATAATTCCAACCTACTTATCAGAGAAAAAGCTAAACCGCCCAATATTATTCAAGAATTACAGAGTAACTTTCATTTTAACAGCGACCATCTGAAACAAATATTTAAGCTGCCACACTCTATCGTTTTCGAATCGTATGTTAAAGCCTTCCATTACAAAGTAATTAACTCAATTCTTTACACAAATACAAATTTGTATAAAATAGGTTTTAGAGCAAATGATTTATGTACTTTCTGTGACAATCAACCCGAATCATTGATCCATTTGTTCTATCACTGCTCGCGTTCTAAACAGTTTTGGATTGAATTTGAATTATTTTGGTGCCAACGAATTCGTCTCTGCTTAGAAAATGCATGTGATCCTTGGAATTTTGACGGGAAATGCTTGCCCTTTACTTCATTTGCTGAACTATTTTATAATTATTGGAAAAAACTATTTGTGGGACTGTTGGAGCAAACAAATCCTTCCAAACATTTATGGATTTAGGGCGAACTCGCTAAATATAAAGCAGAAGAAAAAAACCAGCAACAAAGAATTCTTGAAA